CAGGAAGAGTGCCACCAGTTTTTTAAAATTTCCTTCGTTAATTATTTTTAATGAATGAGTTCAATATCTTCGCAACTGTTTTGTTACGTAAATCTAAGTAAATATCCACGATAATAATCGCAAGGTAACGTAGGTGATGAAAAGTAAGTAACATTTTTTTTCCTTACCCGGTCACCTATGATAAAATTTTATATATTTTTTAAATTGGTATAGAATTCTTAACATCTTGTGAAAGTTTCTAATACAAACCGCTTTACTGATTCGCAGAAATCTGACCTCAAAGTTGAAGTATTTTTATTACCTAGTTTTCCGTGCAACGTAAGTTAAGTGGCAATTTTAGTAATAAGTTCACCCTTATTCAGTTGCTGATTAAGACTTCTTGGGGCCCAGGGCTATTTTTTTTTTGGAGGCTTTTTTATAAACCAGAGCCTAAAATTGACTTGAAAAAAAAAAAAAACGGTCCTCTAAAATTTTTTGGGACCCTAAATTTGTAGGGCCAGGGGCTATAGCCCCTGGCTCTCTTGATCCGGCACTGCCCTCATTCAGCCAGACTCAAAAATTTTTAGCATATTTTATTCTTTAGACTAACAGATTTCATACAAAGTAGCTAAAAGTTTAATTTACTGTTTAAATTGGCAAAAATTTGATAAAGTTGTTGCGCGTGTAACGTAAGTTAAAAATGGAAATGCCCAAATATGTTTTAACAAAACAAATTATATTTTTATGGTTTCATATTTTATTTCTATTTCACAATACTATATCAGTATTGCGAAATAGAACAGTAGATGATAAAAGTAACGATCCAAAGAAATGTAAGAACCCTATAAGTCAAAAAGATTCTGCAGGCAGGGCCGGCGCAAGTAGATGTCACGTAATGGCGGGGGGGGGGCATTATAACTTTTGCCGAATAAAAAAGAAAAAAAAAGGTCCTCGTTTTATATCCTCAAAATATATTCAATGAAAAAACCAGGACCTGTTTACCATGCCAGATGATTAACTCTAGCTTTAAAAACAATGATGTTTATGCAAAAGTAAAGAATCCTACAGATTAGTTGTTCACAATTACAAACTATATAGTTCAAGTATATTGCCCCATATGGTTTGCCCATAAAAAATCTTTTCTTTGTAAAGATGTTTCTAGACTTTATAAGACATTATAAAATAATTAGACAATTGAGCTTGTTAAAAATCAGACAGACAATATACAACAAACTGTTTTTTAAAATCTTCAAGGAAACTCTTATTGTTGTCTCCAAGAAAGCTTGTTATATTCTATGTTGCAAGATGATGAAAAAGATATAAGGGCTCAAACTATTAAGCAAGTTTTGCACAAAAGGCAATCAAGAGAAGTAAATCAAGAAGTCTAACCAAAAATCAAATCAAATTTAATTATTCCTATTAACTTTAACGCTGATACATGGAGTGGTTTTTTAATGTTTCTTTAACTGAGGTCGAACTTCTAACTTCTATTCTAATTTCATATTTTGAGTTAAAGATTTGCAAACTTCTAAATAACATATTCATACAGAGTTACCCAACAATTTACAATCAGTGGAAAAGCCAACAAAGCTTGTAGAGGCATTAAAGATAGTTTATGGTCAAGTAAAGAGACACAACTTTATCTTAATTAAAAACTAAGCAGAGAAGAAAATAAGTGTAGTTCATCTAAAACTGATTACTTTATACCTTTTTTTTGAGAAAATTTTATTTTTTTTCAATTTAAAATTGGTTCACATACCTAAGTCCGAGGGCATCCTTGACTTGAGTACTGTCAAGAATTTTTTTTAATGGCGAGCCTACCTTTAATTCTGAAATCACTCTTGCGCAGAGAAACATGTTGAACGCAGTAATTCCAGAAATAAAAAGGGACTAAGGCAGCCAGAATCAAAACTTGAATGGAAAAAACAGGTTTGGAAAAATTAGGAAAGGGGGAAGGCTATCACCACTCCGCTTCCTGTTCCTACGGCAGTGTTTAAGATTATGTGTAATCATTCTATTTTAAATAATATTCATTCCATAATATTCAAATACTCTTATGGAAAGAATATTTGTATCAAAGTTGGTATTAAGTATATAAATATTAAGAATGCCACAAAAATAATTCATTCAAAACAAGAAAATACTTAAAAACTTTAAAACCATTTCCCAAAATTGCCCTTACTCCAATCTGTCTGAAAATTTCTGGATCTTAGATTGCACAAAAAATCCCAAAGTAAGCCAATATAATCTGAGAAAAAAAGTAAATTTTGGTAGGGGCCTAAAGTCTACGAATATGGTTAATGTTAAAACGGTTTTTATATTAGCATCATTTTCTTTTATTTACTTTTTTTCCATTAAACCAACTTCTACTGATGACGGTCTAAGCTATTTAGTTCGAAATATAACTAATAAATTAATACTTTCACCTGCCAAGTAAAGTAGGTGAGGGGGGATCCTAATTAATGGATATCAGAAAGTCTATCATATGAAGTAGCATTACCTTTTTCCTATAATTGTTTACTAATAATTATACTCATTTTTGTTTTTACATTTTAAAGTTTCATAGAATAAAAACAAATGAATAAATTTTCAAAATTTTAAATTTGAGAAATCTTTTGGTCTTGCCACACTTTGACACGCAGTGCGATGAAAAAAAAAAATACGCGCCTAGCTAGGAGGTAGAAGGCACTGGAGGCTTTTTATAAAGGAGCTTTTTTCATTTTAAAATTCTGCTTTTATATATTTTTTTAAAACCACTGCTAGGAGTTTATGAGTAAAAAGATAAAAAGGAAAAATCAATAGGATGAAGAAAAAAAATCAATAGGATAGCGTTAAAAAAAACCCAAAAGAATAGCGAGGAAAAACCAATAGAATAGCAAGAAAAGAACAAAATAATGTAAAGGTTGGTTAGTTTTAGCAAAATAGTTTTAGTGTAGTTTTAACAAAAAATTATTTGAAGAAATTTAATTTCTTCACTATAATCTCAATATAACTTTAACACACCAGTGATATAATTCCTCATATAACTTCAATACGCCAGTGATCTTTAAGTAACTTCAACACATCAGTGATCCTCGAATAACTTTACACCATCTCTGTTTTCCAGAAGCTTTCAAAATACAGCTGCATGGCTGCAATAGTTTTTTCATTTGAAGAGAAAAGTGCTTTTCACAAAGGAAAAAATTTAAGTTTTTGAAGAGGGAACTAAACCTCA